GTGTGGGGGGGGGGGGGGGGGTTTTTAAGGAGGCGCGGGGGAGAAGGGGGGGGGGGTACCTGCATCATGAGTCCAGATCTCCAGACCAGCCACTCGGTTGCCTTCTTCTCTCCTGCCGAGGGAGGTGGAGAAAGTTGAGGCGTCTTCCGTGTGCCCACATCCTTCCCACGAGACGGACCGACGGACCCATGAGAAGAGCAAGGCCGGCCCCCAGCCCCTCAGATCCCGGGGAAGATGCACCGGGAGCAACCCAAAGTGTGCACCATCAGCGGAGAATGGAAAGGACCAACCCCGTCGAGCTGGAGCCGAGGGGGAGACCATAAGCAAACGTTACCACGCTCAGGCAAAGGAGGACTTCTTCCCTGGTACCCAAAGGATGGCAAATCACTGCCAGTTGAAATCTTCCAAGGAGGGAGCTCTAGAGTTGCTGGGGGGGGGCTTTGTCCCCGCCGCAAGCACCACACGCCCAGCCGGCCGGCCCTCGGCTGCAGACGGTGCTGCCTGGAGCAACCGCGTCCCAAGCCGGGGCTCCGGTGACCTGCTTTGCTGGACACGAGGCATGACGGGGGCTGAAAACGCAGGGGAGGCGGGGATGGCGAGCACCCCTCGGGGAGACTTGGGGGTTGGGGACGTGCTCAGGAAGGGGGTCTGAGCGAGGGATGCGTTTGTGTATTTGTGCTTCGGGTTGTTGTCCACCTTTCGGCCAGCGGCAGAAGAGCCTATGGTGGCCCCCAAACAGGAGGTGCCGGGGGGCATCTTTTCCGACGACGACGTTTGTTTCAAAGGCAGACGCTTTCACGAGCTCCAGCTTGCTTCATCAGACGCAGCACATATATGTTACGTGTGCATTTAGTGTATTCAGTGTATTAGTATATAGTAACTGTCCTCCTCAGAATTGCCACCACAACAATCCAGTGAGGTTGTGCTGATAGCGAGTGGCCCAAATACACCCTGTGAGCTTCTGGAGGCTGGCCCCGGTCTCCCCACCGCGAACACGCCTGGGGAGGCATTTAGGGGTCGGGGGAGCGGAAGGCGAAGGCGAGCGTGCCCCCAGCGCCCTCTTTGGGCCTCCTGGTCCAGCCCCGGCCCCTCCAGCTGCGGCCACGGCGGGGGCAGCAAGGCGGCCTCCCTGGGCTTGGTGGAGGAGGAGGAGGAGGAGGAGGCGACCCTGAGCCTTTGGAGGAGAGAAGCCCCCTCCTTGCCTTCCCCCTGGAAGGCTGCCCGGCAGGGCCCAGAGGGGAGGAGGCCCTGGAGGGAAAAGGAAAGCGAGGCGGGAGCACAGGGAAACTGGGAGAGCAGAAGTGGCCTGAGAAGAGGCAACTTTCCAACAGAATGAGGCTTCCTACAACTGAAGGGTATGGTCAAAAAAGTCAAGATGGCACCACGATCGAAGCTGACAGCTAAATACAAATAAACATGAGCTTTGCAAAGCCAAACCATTTTGAATCAGCAGATAAACTAGGGAAATGGTTAGCGTACGAACTGAAGAAAGAAAGAAAGAAAGAAAGAAAGAAAGAAAGAAAGAAAGAAAGAAAGAAAGAAAGAAAGAAAGAAAGAAAG